GCCTGGACATCTACCCCCTCGTTACCACGTGGAATATTCTGTCCATTGTTTAGGACATTATCTCTCACGTTTGGATTACCCCCCAAGTTAGGCATACCAATACTACTACTTTGATTTAGTATTGTAGCACCTCCTTGGTTTAAAGTAGAGGGGCCAGAAAGTGGTTCTACCCCTTGACTTGGATTTGGGACCGAAGGATTATGTCCTACGATCGTCCTAGTTTGAATAACATTTTTCAAATAAATTTGTTAAGGGTATTTATGTCATTTGTGCTATATATTTTTTAATACAATAAATTATTATTTTTATTTTTATTAATATTAATATTATTTGTATTTAAAATAAATTTTAAATGTAAGACATAATAATTAATAAATTAATTAAAAGACGAAAACAATTTAAAATACATCAAACACGATTATTTATTAAAGTTAATACGAAATATATTAAATAGCGACATACATACGATAATCTAATTTTATTTTTTAAAAAAAGGATACATAAGGATACATACATACCCTTACTCGTCATAAATAAATCAAGGATAAAGAAACTCACATTACACTTCAAAATGCATTAATCGATCATTTGTACGATGAACATATGAATTCTGAGAATTAAATTGCAAAAATTTAGCGATTTCGTAATATCGTCTATCCAAATTCGAAATGCATTGTACTATTTTCTGACGGCATGATTTCATATTTTTGTTGTTGTAGTATTTTTATTAATTGTTCTATATTTTTTATATTTATTAATGAATTTAATCTTTTCTGTAATTTAACATAATTATTTATTTAGTAATTTATGTATTTATGAAATAATTAAATAAATAACATTTCAAATAAGTAAATTATAAAGAATAAAAAAAGGGAAGAAAATGATTAAATACTGTTCATTTAGTGTAATTTTTGGTGTAATGGTTGGAGATGAATTTTAATTTGGTGCAAGATTTAGTGCAAAATGGTGCAAAATTTGGTGTAGGGTTGGAGATGGCCTAAGAATCCTGAGTTAATTCTTAATAGAACAATGAGTTTCCTATGCAAATGCTCTCCGATTCAACTCTCATCTTCATCGTGGCCATGGAAGAGGAGAGTCAAAACTCAGATTAAGCTTAGAACTGAACCTACAAGAAGCTTGTTGTGTCGTTACCCCCAGCGGAATATGAGCTGACTTGCAGCGTAAAATGAGAGAGCCACCAACGATGTCATTACAATTATTGTGCTGCAAGTCCAACATCATAATCCTATGTCAAGCCTCAGGAATTTCAAGAAATCTTAACAGAAAATGTGTATATACACACACACACAAACGACTGTATCTATTACAAATGTGAATGTAAGGTTTAATGGTTCCTTCTACCCAGATGTAATTATAACAGAATTCAATAATGATATAGCTAAAACAGAATTTCGAATTTCAAACTTAAACAATGAATAAGTACCTGAATAACAGAACTATGATAGCAAACAACATCGTAGAGGATGAGTTTCCAACAGCAAGAAATACTGGAAGAGTGGATGCACAAGGAGACAGTGCAGGAAGAAGATCAAGACCAGCAACTGCCATTTTCTCCATGGGTTAGTTGTGGGAATGGCTGGGACTGCCCTTTCCAGATGGAAACAGTGTGATATAACCACCACCGAGAACTATGAGCACTAAAGATGCAAGTTTATGCACACTTTCCTCACCAGCAATGGTGGTTGGTAATGTAATTGTGGTTATTCCAAGTAACGAAGTAGACATCACATGCAAAACTGCTCCAAATGCGGCTGCATGAAGATAATTAATTAGCCAAAGATCACAACTACGTGGGCAAGAAACAAAGTCACAGAAGACATTGGTATCATTGGATGACCTTGTATTCAGCTCAGGCTACACAAAGGCACTCAATGAAAGAATACAAAGATTTAGATATCGTCAAATGAGAACCAAAAATATGATATTTTATTAAGGAAATTTCTTACCGACAGTGAGAGTACGGGAGAGCGTGACCAACAGTGGAGAAGATCACCCAATGGATTGGTATGAAGGAATGCAGCAGTGACACAGTGGCTATACCCCTGATTGTTGATGGATCCACTGCATTGATATTGAATTTTCCATTTTGTTGGATTTGAAAAGGAAAAAACAAATTCAATAAATTTCAACCTACGCCTTACATTTAGCATCTGCAAAAACAAGTTGAGTTGGCAGGGAGGTGGAAGATCGGATTCAGGTGAGAATATGGGTAATTTTTATGGTCAACACTACCAACAATCCTAATGCCATCGCCCCAATGACGCAGTCCAAGAAACCTGCCTTGCCGCCATGGATGATACTGATATTGGGAATCAACCCTTGACAGCAAACCTGATTATAATTCACTGGAGACTCAAGATATTACATCATGATCACAACCCTAACGAAATATTCAGATCCTGTCACCAACCTCATTGATTTTCTTCCCGGGACTTTGCTTTAAAAATGAACATTCTTCTCTCCTCCCAGGTACCATCCTTCCTTCTGTTCTACACATGAATTTGAGCGTCTTAACATTCTCCTGGACTTAAACGTGGAAAAAAAAATTGATTTCTTTTCTTTGCCATTTTCAACATACTATCTACAGAAGTAACAGCGTACCACCGATCGTTACAGAACCCTTCTGTTCCATCTAGATATTGGATTCCAGTACAAGAATGAAACCACAGAGGACATTTTTTAAGCTCCTTCTGTACCAACAATTATCACAAGCAAAGCTCTTCTATTGAAGATTCTATTTACATTTTACATTATGAATTTATGATTACCATTTCAGGATTTGAATAGAAACCAGTTACTAAGCACTAATTCTCAACATCAAATTTTTATTTCTTGAAAACTATCTTCTCAAATCTCTACTAGACAAATTGATAGTCGAGTCCTCGATCTCTTTACTTGCCTGACAACACTATACAGCAAAACACTAATTATTTTTTGAAATTCAAGAAATATAAAATAACTGAAAGGAAATAAGAAAGAAAAAATCCCCTCATGTCCTCTATTCCCCTTTTCATTCTCTCTCTTTTACCATAACCAAGAAAAACTGATTTTCCTTCATATATTTTGAAAGTGTCCGCATCTTCAAATGTATGTTTATCTGAACTGACAGTTGCTTATCTACATGGTTTATTAACAAAAGGTAAAAGCCAATCCTGGAATCCTTAAAGCTGGAACTTATAAGCCAATTTAACTTTCTATAAGCATGTCAATCGTAATAAAGAATTTGCCGTCGTGAACTGAAAGCCTAAAAAGGAGTTACTATATGTACATATATTCATACACAAGCATCCTTAGACAAATAGACACATGTTACCAAGATTGAAGCTTACTAACATTACAAAATGCATAAAGCAAAATCACATATCATCTGCTAAAAGACCCTGAATACTCAATTGCCCCAGTATGCAACACAACAATTCTGAAAATGAATGTGAAATAAATATACATATTATGCACCCCCTCATATTATAACCTTAAATGTAGTATCTTAATTTAAAAAACCAAGAAAAAGAACCCGTACAAAATCATGCATTTTCTCTCTTTATCGTTTTAATGTGTACAAACCTCATAATAACTATAGCAAAAGAAACCTCCAGTATTCTAATATTCTATTTACAGAATAAATTGCCGCGACCCATTTTAAGCTTAACCGGAAAGCAAATATTAAGCATCGAAGTCGAGTACAATTCTTTCATTATTGAATTTTTACGTTCTTAAATCTGTGCAGGAGGGACTCTATTGATCTTTGTAGCTTGGAGCTCTCTGCTTGCCTGACAGCCTCTGCTGCCTGGTGTAAACTTTTGATTCCACGACCCAAACTAGCAACTGATGGAGCAACAGGAAATGTCTCTGCAACACATTCAATTCCATCTCCATAGACTAGCAAGCCTGTGCAAGTAGCAATACTACATCCAAAGGTAGCCCAGGGTAAAACTCCAATGGGTCTGACTCGGCGTTTCCTCATTATTTCATAAAAAGCTGTTCTCATGGCAGAAAGACTAGTTTCCTCTGCAGACGCTATAACACTGTGAGATATGGTTCGGATTTTCTCAGCAGACACAGCAGCCTTCAGGGTTGAACTTTTCAATGCAGTACTTCCCATTCCTGGGGCTACCACTTTTGTTAGACCAAGACCCTTGCCAAGTGCCAAAACAATCTTTTGTGTTTGAGTCAACAAAAGTTTAAGTGAAGTCGGGATATGGAAGGTTGCAATTTTTACAAAAGTTGAAGCCGGAATAACTTTATAGAGGGAAGAGACTCCAAAAACTGCTGTTGCACCTGCCCCAACTGCCACCACCGGTTTATCAGCCAACAGGCGCTTCATGTTACTCTGGTGTGGGATTTCCCCATTATCTTCACAATTAGTTATGAGCTCTTCAACTGTACTTTTAACCTCTGGAGGAACAGGGGTTTTCCAGTGTTTCCTTAGTCCAGCTAATGCGCTAGCATCAACAACTGCAACTATTGATTTGAACTTCTTAGTTTGGTTATGAAGAGCCTGTGCAAGAATAGCATGTGACTGATCCTCCACAGGAAGATCGCAAAACTTAGAGTTAGCCAAGATGGGGTCTCCTATTTTGCTCAAAGGAAGCCGGCCAGCATTATTCAATGCAATTCTCAGCCCCTCAATTGCAACACGGAATAAGTAAAATTCAGATAGGAGCTGGGAATCAACAATTTCTCCCTTGTTAACATCACTAAGAAGTTTCTGAGCACAAGCCAGAGCCCTTCCCATAGAGGGGATGTCAACAAATATGTCATGCAAATCAATAAGCAAGGGATAGACAGATTTTGCAAACTGCGGAGCCTCATAATCAACTAGAGGCCTAACATCTTCACTACTGAGTTTCAAAATATTACTTGACTGAACCAAATATGTAGACAGCAACTTCACCATTTGAGACTGAACACCATTCGTAACATAAAAACCCCTCGACCTTTCCGAAACCATATTCCTTTTGCGAGCCAAATTACTCGGCTGAAAACCAAAAGCACCTAGAAATTCATTTCCTGATTCCACCACCTGCTCTACCCCTGTGTCCAAACCACATTCACTATCTCCATCAGTGATGTGCTTCACGAAAGGCAATTCAAGAGTAAGAAATGAAGAACTAACTTCCTCAGCAGCCTTCTTGGCAGCCGTAACATGGGCATTGAAACGCACCCCAAAAACTTCCTTCAGAAATAAACTCCCTGCCACTTTCTCATACTTCTCGCTATTAGTCTTATGCACAAAACATCTTTTCAACACCTCAAATGATGATGTTGGAACGGCATACTCATCAATGCTATCACCATTTTCACTATTCTCGCTTACCCTAATGTCCGAATCATTAAAGCTTCCCATGTGAACAACAACAGCATCAGGCTTAACCCCTCTTATGAGACACTCAGCATCCGAAGCTGACCTTTCTGATAAATTCTGAACAGACAGTATATAGATACTTGACTGCGATTCAGGGTCACGGATAGCATAAATAAACTGTTTCGTACTTTCAGGCACCGGTAGCTTTTTCACTATTCCATCTGATGCTCTTAAATCATTATTGACTTTAAACGTAGAAAAAGGCCATATCTTTTGCATATATTCCACCATCACCCCCATAACGAATATATACACGCTTAGCTTAGTTTTGGCGTATAAACACTAAAATCAGAAATACACAGTTGCAAGATTTTATTTATACTCGGTCAATTCACCAGTAAAGAATTCAGATAAAAGAAAACCCAAGTGAAATATACATACATATATACTTCTGTATGTGCTCATAGATACGTATGTATGAACATAACGGGGGGAGGAAAACAAAGGTTCTTCGATATACCTTGTGGTGGTTGATCAGGGAAGAGAGAGATAGAGAGAGAAACTGGTAGGGGAGCCTGCCGGGAGCTGAGGGCAGTTCCCTCTGGAAAAATCGGCTGAAATAATAAGGGAGGCCGTTTTGGCCGATTATAATTTATTTATAGGAAAACAGTTGAGCCGGGTTTTTATTTTTTATTTATTTTTCGGTTACCTTATTATTATTATTATTATTATTATTATTATTATTATTATTATTATGTTTTCAGAGAATTTTTGATTACTTAGTGTAATATAAAATAATTAATAAATCACAATATTCCGTAAGTTCTTGTTTGATATAATTAAAAGGTTGACAAAAGATTAATGTCAAAATTAAGAGTTAAATTTAACCACATAATAGGATGGCAAAATGGATCCCACCGCTCGCAGGCTCGATCCGTCCCACAACGGTTTGGGTTCATTTTGAGACGATCTGAGTTCACCTATATTTCCATGCCCGGCTCGTTTGGATTTGTGGACTAACTCATTTTCCCGTCTTTTTTGACTAACTTTATTAATTTCTTTATTTTGAAAAAAAAAATTAGGCCTATTTTGTTAATTTTCTTTTTCTTAAAAAAAGAAAAAGAAAAAAGAGCCAACTCATGGACAACTCAACTCGGCCCAAGAGACTCATGAGTCAAAGGATCAGCCTAGAATTTGGATACGAATTGAGATCAAATGTTTAAGGAGCCACCACCAAATCACATATTTATTAGACCCACGACTATTATAAACTTTTCTGTCATATATTTCATCAATTTTAACCAATTTGCTAAATTTTATGTCAAAAATGTTGTCAAACAACCTCGAAATCAATCTTCTAGTTAAATTGCTTGACAATGTAAAGAGAAGAGATCTTCTATGGGTCTGGGCATGGAAGGGATGGAGTCGAGGAAGATAATTATAGTTTTTATCTTTTATATTTTCATATTTTTTACTTATTTAACTTTGACGCAGAGCCGGTCCTGAGATTTTAGGTGCCCTGTATGAGATTTTAAAATGTTGTCCCGTTGAGTAACTAAAACATATATTAAAAAAATATTTTAGTAATATTATTTCATTGCAAAAATATGATATTTAATTTTACTTATTTATTTATTTTACATAAATGAACCAAAAAAATATAAATAAAGCTCAAAAGCATTCTTGAACTACATCAAAATTCATACGTCATCAACAAAGAACCATCTAAGCCACTAGCCTCTTCGTACAATTCCATATAATCAAACCTTGAAAAAATATATATATCAAGTGTAAAGCTCGAAATGCAACAAATCATGTAATAATATTTTTTCTCTCATTTTTAGAAGCAAATTCACTAATTAAACTTTCGTAATCAATATTTTTTAGAAAGTCTTAATTTCACTTAATAATAAATCTCTTCACAATTAATTGATTTCACTTATTAAATTAGTAATTATAAATTATGAACGGTGAACCTATCGTTAGAACAATGAAAAAATATTAAAAAAGAATTTATATTTTCTTGAATATTCAAAGAAATTATTTAAGAAAAAATATGTAGAGGAAACAAAAACTTACTTATAAGTGTTCAACTTCTCCGAAGGAAAATTATGTCGTGTTTCCTCAATCCTCAGTCTCCACATTTAGGCAAACCGAATTTAGAATTTAACAAGTTCTTGAAAGCTAATTCAAATAAGTGAAATCACGGAACGAGATTGACGAAAAAATAACAGGTAATTCAAATTTTCAGCGAGAGCTTAATGAAAAATATGAATCGTCAATTGTCGCTTAAGAAAAAGAGAGAATTGTTTGGAGACGGATCAAAAATGATTGGAGAAAAAGACGATTTCTCCAAAAAGACAGGTGGTTTCTTTAATTCTTTTATCTAAAAAGACGATTGAAAAAGGCGGTTGCTCATTTTTCTTTCTTCTCTAAGTTCCTTGGCCGGCCTGATCTTTTTTCGACTTTTTCCTTTTCCTTCACATTATTTAAGGTAGGAATACTATTTAAGAATATTATATTTAAGAAATTATAATTAGTTAGTCACATTATTCTTAATTTTAATATCTTATGTATTATAATTAAAAAATTTATATTTTAAATATTTAATTATAAATAAATATACAACTATAACAAAAAAAAATTTTGGTGCCTCTACAAGTTTGAGGTCCTATACGATCGCTCAACTTGCGCATCTTTAGGGCCGCCTTTGCTTTGACGGTAAATTAATTTTTGATAGATTTAAAGGTCGAATTAGACGAAAATCACGAAGAAGGAATAGAGTGCAACTGAAGCGAAAAATTAAAGGATTAATATACAAGTTAGGGACCACACAAACAATCTTAGACAGAATAAATCAATAATTCTAAGCCCCGTTTGAGTCCCATTATTTCTCATTACATTAAATTAAATTTTTCTCTCTCCTACTTTTAACTACACAATCTTCAATAAAATATTTTACTCGTAAATCAAAAAATTTTCAACCACTTATTTTTAAAAAAAATATTATTCATCTCATTATAATCTATAAATAATGGAGTTCCAACGGGGGCTAATTTAGCCCCAGGTTGGTATAATTAAAAATAATATTTTTAGTATATTTGATAAAAATTGATGAAATACATTGTTAAAAAATTGATAAAAATTATAAATTTCATAAAATATATAATTAAATTAATTATAGAATTTAATTTAGATTTTTATCAACTTTTTAATTACACCAAGTTAGGACTTCTTAATACCTTAAAGCCAGTTGAATTGAGCCTGGGGTACAAGGTTGGGTAATTTTTTATGGCACCCAACTGGTGTGAGTGCCGATAGGGGTCAACAGCAAAATTGAAGCCAGTTAGCTAAAGATGTCCGAGTGGTCGGGTTGGGTGGCTAATAGCCTTAACCAGCATGGCCAACTTCCAAATTCTATAGTCTTTGTTTAAGCCTCATTTTTGTCATAAAAATACATATTTGAATGGTGTATTGATGTGAAATATATAGTTAAAATATAAAAAAAAATTTTAAATTTAAGTTTAATATTATTTTACTTTAGAATATGTGATTGAATTTACGTGTAATATATATATATATTTTTTTGCAAAGGACGATGATCAAATAAGGGCATATTTGCCTCTTTCCACTTCCAAAATCATATCACAAAGTTGTGCTCTGAAAGCTGTATAGGTGCAGGGCACAAAAAGTCCACAACCATGTGCAAGATCAAATCCATCCCCACCACCAACAGTGCTTATCCACTCATTATCACCACCATTCTCCTGGTGGCGCTTCCATACCTAGCAGCACAGTCGACCCCCGTCTCCGCTGCACCTTCACCAGGATCAGATGACTGCTTCAGCTCTTTGATCAACTTATCTGACTGCTTAACTTTTGTGGAGGAAGGTAGCAATCTAACTAAACCAGATAAAGGGTGTTGCCCAGAATTCTCAAAATTGTCGAATACTCAGCCAGTTTGCCTATGCCAACTTCTTGGTGATCCTAATAAAATTGGAATTCCCATTGATACCAAGAAAGCCCTGAAACTCCCTTCTGCTTGTGGTGTCAACACTCCGCCAGTTAGCTTGTGTTCAGGTACATTTTCTCATTTCTTAAACAAATTTTTACTTGAGTTTTTAACTTGTAAGTAAGAAATAGTAATTTGTCCAAACATGTGCAGATCTCTTTGATATTGAACCTTTTCTTTGGCATTTTTTTTTTCAAATTTTGAATTTGAAATGATTATAATAATTTTTTTGAATAGAATATCTGGCCCAGTTCTTTATTTTTAAGAGACCTGTCCCTGGCGGGGTGCCCCTACCAACCCTGTCTCCAAGCCGTGATAGGGGTTTTATCCTATTTTTAATTGATTTGTGGACCAACATGTATTAGACAAGTCTATGCTACACACAAATTAATGTTATGTAGCAAGGATAATTATTTAATATTAGACAGCTGGAATATTATGCAGTAACTCTACAAACTTACAATTTTTTTTTTATTTTCAAATTAAAAATATATAACAAAAAATGTTCTATTTACTGTAAAAAATTTATAAATTCATTAACGACATGTTTGACATGGACAGATTAATGGTACAATTTTTGTCCAAGATTTTCAATGTTGATTGCTTCGTGGATTTGTATTTGATTTGCGTAATATTTGTTGCACCTCGTTGTTGTGATAATAAATTAAATTATAGAGCATTTTTTGAGGATTCTAATTAATATATTTTTTTAATTATAATTTGCAGTAATTGGTGTTCACGTTGGAGCACCTGCACCAAGTGAAGGCCCTCCATCGCTTGGTAATACTCTCTTCTATGCTTATCCCTCGTTTGACCCTCATTATTTCCAAATTTTAATGGTTAGAATATTATTTTTTTTTTTGAAAATGTGTGGTTGAAAAAGAATGAAAAGTTTTTTATTTGTGTGTAATATTATTTTATAGAGGATTGTGTGATTGAAAATAAGAGAGAGAAAAATAATGAGAAAGAGAATGAGGACCAAACGGAGGCTTAATTTTTATTTTGAAATACCTTGTTTGAATGAATGAATCTCATTATTTGGAAAAAAATATATTCTTAAATAGTTATTTGATATTATTTTAACCACACATAAAATAATATTACACGTAAATTTAAAATTTTTTCTTATTTTTTAAGCATATATTCCCCATCAATTTACTATTTCAAAATACATTTTTAAAAATAATGTGACTCTAACACACACACACACACAAATTTGCAATAAGACAAATATAGTGAAGTATTTTAAAAGTAATTTGTGGGCACATGTGCTACCTTGAATAGGACAGAATAATGAACGAATAACTCACTGATCTCTTTCATAATAATGTTTAGTCACTTCCATTTCAACTTATTGAATGTATCTATATTTTAGTAATATGGATACAAAGAAAAGTGATAGTTGATGATTTAGGGAGCGTTTGGCTGAAATTTTGAAAAGCCAAAAGCTACTTTGAAGATTAAGAAATTATTTTTGATCATATTTGATATTTGAATAAATTTTTGAAAGTGCTTTATTTCATTAGAAAATTTTTTAGAGGAAGTTGGTTTAATGTATGTTTCTCGAAAAACTCTTCAAGCAAAAGCAAAAATAGAAATCCTACGAAACCTGCCCTTGGTTCAAATTTATAGCAAACACTTGAAAAAGGAAAAAGTATTATGATGAGTTGCAATGAAAGGGACACATTGCCTAATCTTATTTTCTACAAACTAATTTTATTTATTTATTTTTTTCAAAATAGATGGATCAGTAGCAGCAAACACAGCCCCTGGGAGTGATGGTAATGGAAGTCCAAGAAACTTAGCCTCAACCTTTCACTTTCTTGTTGGATTAGCAATTATATTAATTACAAATCTCCTCTGATTCTCTAAGTCACTTATAATTAGTGATTTCTTCATTAATTATGTCTAAATATTCCATCTCATATGACATTAATAGTGTGTTAGAATTTGTTTATGTAATTCATTTGAAGATTTGCTTGCGACATTACAATTTTACACATCCCGAGTTTCTTTCCATATCGAACCATGCAGTTGGATAGATATACTAATCACTTAGTAAAACAAAGTATGTAATGAATGATAAAAACCAGCCATTTGCACAGAGTTGCTGGTTCTTTACACTGAAGAGGACACCATCTCTTGGACGGTGATGGGGCGGCAAATAGCGGCCAATGCATCCCCCGACCAGGCTGAATTAGCCACCCAGGAGTTCATAGCTGGGTTAGGGTTGTATAAGTCCCACCGCACATAGGTTGAGAATTGATGGCAAATCATGTGGGCGGAGCCAACACATGGTGAGCCCCTGCGGCCACCCCTGCTGGCTCTGCTGGAATTTTTTTCGTTACATTGGGTGGCTGCTCGATCGGCCGTTGGTGCATACTTGGATTCCTAGATCCGTCACTATCTGTAGAGGCCATCCCATGATACCTGCCAAGTCCACAGCATGCATTTTGTACATCCTTGACTCCTGCAAGTTTTGGCACATATTAGTAAACTCAACCACTCAAATATCTTAAAACATAATATTTGAGTCGAGTGCCAAATGACTGAACTGAGACTGAGTTGTGTAGCCTACATGTGTTGATTGATAGAAATGCAGGATAGAACATTATCATTTGACACTGTAAGTACCTTGTCCTAGCATAGTTTTTAGCATTGTTGAAGAACTCCTGAATGGCTCAAAAAAATCAGAAAAGATTATTAGACCTTCTGATAAATCTGCATTAAGGGCAAAAATCTTCTCCTCCAGCCTCGTGTTATATTCCAACATGAGCTTATTGACCTCATTTGCGCATCCCCTTCTATCATAATTCATATAATTATCTCACTCTGAAAGCATTCGTGGTGTACATCCCAGGGTAGAATGCATGTGCATGTTATCTTCCTCACATTATTTGCATAAAGATTTCTGATAGCATTTATCATCTGGTTAACCAAGATGTGAGTAAAATTCTGGCCACTGAATCTAGGATCTATCCCCAAATGAGATATTAAGGAAGTAATCGATGAATTCATCTCTTCCGAAAGCATTCGTGGTGTACATCCCAGGGTAGAATGCATGTGCATGTTATCTTCCTCACATTATTGCATAAAGATTTCTGATAGCATTTATCATCTGGTTAACCAAGATATGAGTAAAATTCTGGCCACTGAATCTAGGATCTATCCCCAAATGAGATATTAAGGAAGTAATCAATGAATTCATCTCTTCCGAGGGAGAGGTAGAAGAGGGAAGATTAAATGAATTATGTGGCAACTTCGTGGCTGAGCCAAAGCTGTAATAGCTGAATAGTCTCGAACATTTGGCATAATTGCTGGTTGAGAGACTGGTAACCTTGACTCCCTGCGTATAGGATAGTAGCTTGTGCTGCACCCGAGTTCGATGGTCATGAATTGATCTTTTTGGCTGTAAAATGGCATGTCATATGAGAAGTTCATTTTTTTAGCTGCATCACATAAAAAGTATCATAATCAAGCAGACTATCACAGAGTTTTGATACAGATGAACTCTGATAAGGGATACGCCAAAAACCGACATTTGCCATAACATTGATTCAAGAATGCTAACAATATAAAGTTTTGTCTACGTCAAACCAGGATTCCATTGTAACAAATTTAACATTTTCTCATCTATTGAAAAAATCCAAGACCCTAAATAAGTAATGATTAGAGGACTGCCATTCTCACTCTAATTCTTCAACCATCAACGAAAAAGTACCAATATACTCCGTAATAGTAATTGAAGATCACGTGTATATATTGGAGACGTCCTGATTGTAAGCAACGGATTAATGAGAGAAAATTTGGTAATGAGGAGGAGGTTTCAACGAAACAATACCATGATTTCCATGAACTAATCACCTAATCTAGCCATCCTTTATTGGTTATTAATAGGATCACTCTATTGCATAAAAATATAGAGCTCTAAATCTTTATATTATATGGTATTTCTTGAAAGAAAGTATCCCTTTATTAGTGTTTCTTCATATTCATCTTAAGCTCAAAGATGGGGAATTTTACACGCTATTAATGCCATTTTTAAACTTCACAATACCCACAAAAACAAAATAGTAACATTAAGAAACAACCCAAAGTTTCGCATACTAGTTTCTAGAAATCCAATTCAGATTTATAGGAAACCGTTGGTCCCAGATAAATGGATCTTCACTTTTAAACCAAATTTGCTTGTAAAGCTTAAACAAAAAACTTCAAAAATAACAAAAGATTTTTCGGCCAAAGGCTCCGAAGGTTCAATGGCCGCTTCTAACACTTAATTCCCGTTGAGCATCCTTGAGAATATTGCTTGAATCCACTATAAAACTCTCATAATGGGCAAAAGTCGAGTACAGTACAAAACCAGTAAGGTGTCAACGAAACCCTAGTCTCTCGAACTTTCCTTTTTCAGTAAACACTCACAAAGAATATGTGTTACTTAATCTTTCTCCCAAAAGCATAGAAATTTCAATCAAAAATCACTCTAAAAGCATCATCGAATCGATGATCGATTACAGAAATATACAGAGAGAATTCAACACGTAGATGAAAGGACAAAATGCTCAAGACTAAAACTGATGCGAACCCCGTAGCAACGTTGACTACGAAACCCACGACTAGATTGCTAGAACCCCAGAAAAGCCAATTAAGAGGTTTGAGAGTTTGAACCGAATCAATGAACCGAAAAAATCCAACAAGATCAAAACTTGAAAGTCCCTTGATTACACGATTAAGACCCGCACCTGGATTGTAAAACGCCCCAAGATTGTAACTCTTGATAAGTTCCAATTGTTCAACGAAGAACGAAGCGAATAAAGCAAATTGCCTCACTTTATTGAATTCTCTCAAAATAATATTGTGTGTAAAGTTTTACAATAAGGATAAACATATTTATATGTAGAAAATCTATAAACGAATTCTAATAGGAATAAAATTATAATGAAAATCTAGAAACTAATTCTAATAGGAATAAAACTCTAATCCTAGCTTAAAATGGAATTAAAGATTACAAGAATTTTACCATAACCAAAACTCTAACAAAATACGAAAAATTTCGGAAAATGAAACAATTTCACTATGAAAATAATTATGTGGTGTCAATTTAATTCTTTTGCTTGTATTGAATTGATCCATTTGGATTGAACTCCTGACCCGAACATGAAAGTTGCCTCATTTTACGTTCCGAACATCATCCCATCTATAGTTAATTAAACTAGCAACTCCATCGCTTGTGTTGTGGAATCTCTCTTGAAAGATCTTCAAATCGGTGATTTTCGGGTTTAGTCCAATGTACCTTTCTCGACCAATCCAATCGGCTCCAAACCACAACTAATTGATTCACCTTGGTTGCTATTCAAATTTACCTATGTAGGACAAGAAATGATGATAATTTATGGCCACAAAGGTCAAGAGAAGACACCACAAAGGTATAATATGAAAGAACCACCAATTGCACACATTATACAAGCGTTCTGGACACTTCTGAAGACCTTTTTTCTCACACAAAGGGGGGCAGCCGGGATTCTCCTTTTTCTTCTCTCAAAATCATACAATCATTATCAGAAAGTGGCTAGGGTTATAGCCAAATATATACTCTAGGGTTAGGCTTTAAGTTGGGCCATTAAAGGGGTAAACGGGCTAAGATTCAAGCCATCCATAAGGAAATACAATTTGGCTGGGTGTAGCTCATGGACTTGATTATTGAACTTATTTCATTCATCGACCTATGCCTATGAAATAATATTAACCCACGTTAACATCACTACCACACTCTCACACCACTCACAGAGCAAATAGAGTACGCCACAAAACTTAACCCACTATGCATGTAAATATATTACACAAAGTAATAAGTCACTCTAATTCATGCAATTACACACATTAAACATATTGAAAGTGTAAAATACCAACGTTGCAACAGAATTAAGTGACCACATACATGCAGAAAGGATTACATACAAATGCAATGCAATAACTAGGTTTATTCTCTCAATAAACCTCACTAGAATCACTACTCGACCCTAAAATCACATTCGTCTCGTTTCTATCCTCATCTTTCCTTTTATTATCATCTTAGGACAATTTCTTTCAACTATGCCCAAATTTTATCACAGTTAAAACATATTTTATTTTTCGCACTTGCCTTAGACCTATACATGCCAACAATGCCAAATAATGATCACAAGCAAAGTATTAACATATAATTCACACAGAATAGTCAAGTAAACTTTCCTAAGGTCACATGCAATTCTATCGGTGTAAAAAAAATTGGTGACAAATTCACATAGAATTTAAGATAATTAATTAACATATAATTTCTAGGTCTAACAACAGACAATGGTTACCCCTTCACGATAACCCCAAACCTAACGTCATCCTACATTATGACTCCTAATGAGAAAAATAAATAATTACCATAACAATATTTTAACTGCAATAATAAAAGGTAAAGAACACAATACCGAGAGGACCACGTCTGAAAGTCCGTAAATATCGAGAGTTGCGAATTTATCACTTTAGGACCACCACTATTCATCCTAAAGTCTCTGGAAATTGCAGCAACCAAAAAATCACAATCGAGTCCCGAACATCCGAAGAACAACGCTGTCCAGATTCTACTACGTACCCTGAAACAGAAAACTTTCAACACAAAAAATATCAGAAATAATATGAGGAACAAACTGCCTAAAGAGACCGTCGCCAAAAAATGCTCCATGTGACCTCACTCGCGGATCCTTCCCTCTGCGCGTGGGCCTCACGCACCACCGTCGATCGACACGTGTCAGCATGCAGGGTTCGCCTCCTCCTGTAAGTCACGCCAGTGGTCTCAGTTTTCCCAAATTTCTTCTGGATTGATCAAAAAAGGCGAAAAAACGAGACTGATTTTGACAGTTTTTGGACAGCTTCTTCGATCTGATTTCTGCTGCAATTTCTGGACATTTTTGGTATGTTTCACGAGCCAAAACCATCACCTTGAAGCTCTGATACCAATTGTTGTAGAAGCTC